CTGCTCCACTAAGCCGCCTACCTCATGTCACCATCCCGTCACGCGCAGCCTATTGCCTTCTCACGACCAATCCCCGACCACCTCTCCGATGCAGGAATGTGTTCTCTCTTCCGATTGGCTCATTCGTTACTGAAGGGTCGCGTCCTAGTCTGACATATACATCAGACTGTACCATAGAGTCACTGGTCTCCTAGAGCGTCTCTTCAACGTAATCTCTATGGTGCGCGTAAATCCTGCCTTTACACGGGAATGTCCGTTTGCGGGTCCTTTTTTTTTTTAAATATCCACAACTTTATTAAATAAGACCAGCGGGGAAAAAAACAAAACCTGGGGTTTATTCACTAAACTCTGAATTGTGGAGAATTCCTAGCAGAATGTCAGAATTTAGGCTGTAACAGAGTTGGAGAATGTTTCCCAATTTGCTACTTTGGTAATAATTGGCAACAATTCTGACTTAAAGGGATACTCCAGGCACCAAAACAACTTTATGTAAATGAAGTTGTTATGGTGCCAGGAGGCCCAGTGCTCACTATTTCCTGAAGGGGTTAAACCGGTTTATCTGTGAGGTTGCCAACAGTGCCGATCTCAGCTCCCCGCAGCGCAGAATTCGACAACTGAAAGTTTAGTTTTAGAAAACACATAGCGCCGCTGATTGGCTGAGAGTGGTCAGCCGACGCTCTCAGCCAATCAGTGACTCCCCATTCACAAAATTGGCTTGCAAAGAAACCTACCTTATGCAAGTCAGTTTTGTCAATGGGGAGTCACTGATTGGCTGAGAGCGTCAGCTAGCCACGCTAAGCCAATCATCAGCGCCCCTGTCCGGTGGCACTCCACACTTCCTGAAAACATTTTTTTTGAGAAGCCAGATGCAGAACTCTGGGGAGCTGAGAACTGCGCTGGAGGAAATTTAGGGGTTAAACCGTTCGAGAATCTTAATGTATTTCAATTACCCAGTCTGACCCTGGGACTTGGAACTCCACAGTCAGCACACTTGCATCCTCCAGCCTCAATACCCAATTCTTGACCTGAAGGGTTTGGGGTTAAAATATAAACTGTAATATCTGACGCTCCAGATCTTAAAATCTTCCTAACATTGCCACTGGATCTCAAATCTCCAAATATACTAGACCTCTGAAGAGCTATATGGACAACAGTGAATTTTACGCCACTTAGATTATTTAATCTTTTAAATTTGATTGAGTTTTAACATAAAGGGGGTAAAGAAAAGATATGTGGAGAAGGTAACAAATCATAGGCATTATATGGATTACACTAAATTACATTACACAGTCAATATGGTACATTGAGTAAGAGGATAACATTTGCTAGAGTAATCCAGCAATTTATATGTATTGGTACTTGGCACATGCACACAATGTCATTACAGGTACATAGTATGAAATAGGTATGTGGCCAATCAAACATAATTATTTCCTTTTTATTCAAATAATTAAATACAAGGTATCACACAGCCATACCTTTACCCAATGTTCATGTATCCCACATATTCCAGGCCTCCTGAGACACCTGATTAGGGGTATAAGTAGCGATTATACATGCTATTCCTGTGAATACACAGGATCACTAATTGAATTGAGGGGGATGAAGTGATATACACAGTCTCGCTTTGTGCCAGTTGACTGTCAATGTAATATTTAAAATTATTTTCAGTAGGTCTGTGGAGAAAAGGATACATACAATCTCGTTACTTGCCCTAAAATGGAATGTATATAGGGTTTAATGATAGGGCAAGACCACCAGATGTGGATCAAAGTTCCTAAGTCAGAGTGGCACCTCCAACATGCATTAGACAAAACAGGGATATTATGTGTCATCTAGTCGGTACAATGTACCATATATAGAAAAATGTTGCTCACAATGCATCACAGAGTGGGTCAATCCCATATGCAGGATATAAATCTGGTGCCATTGACAAATTTGTGCAATTTAAATCTGATACACGTTTGTGCTAAGCATTTTTGAAATGCTTAAGTTTGGGAACGTAACAACTGGTAGCACGTGGACATTGGTTTACATGTTTTATTCAGCGTTCCAAAGGTACAAGCCTGTTCTAGAAGGTTATACTTGGGTAAAATTAAAAAATTGCCATTTTTTTTAAGGTAGGTATTAAATGATAACATTGTAGATAAGATTAATGCACTTGGTCTGGGAGAGAATATTTACTTTGAAAGGTGTGATAGTCATGGAATTGTGTGCTATGGTATGATGTGTGTTAGGGAGGGATTACTCCAGAATTTCAAGTTAAAAGTAGGCAACAGGTACAGCAAAGCAGTCACCGTTCAGAGTTGCTGTCTATGTCTATACCATAAATTGAATATCATTTTAAGATGAGTAGATAAGTTTGGTAAGGTTAGGCCAGAAAGCTAGAATACATTACAAATAGTATGAGGTTTAATAGATATACCCATTGGGGTCCCTTTGTAGATCGTAATACCAGTATAGTTGCTTTAAATTCAGAAAGGAAAAAAAAACAACAAAAAAACATTGGGTACTCCCAGCCCTCTTTATCAACTTGATCTTGTTAAAGTAGTAATCATTTTTAGGTCTTTTACCTACCCATATAAATTTTATGATCTGGGCATGTATATCAGAAAAATGTGTTGTTGGGTACTGTAAATGTAATGCTGTCCATAAGTAGAAGAGCCTGGGTAATAAGCATATTTTGAAAGTGTTATATCTACCCAGGGTGAAAAAAAAATAATTTAGTCCATTAGTCCAATAAAGATTTACAAGAAGCCCACACTTTGATATAATTTGCTGAAATAAAGTTGATTAGGTACTTCAGAGGCTTGTAGCCATTCAAAGAGGTAAGCAGAAATGAAAGGAAAACTATACCTGTATTCTTAACACTATAATGCCCCTAGTTTTGGGATTGGGAGATAGATTCCTCAAGATATGCCTTCTTTTGAATCAACAGCAAAAAAATAAATAAAAATGATGTGAGAAAGACTGTGTGTGCCAATGATTGACTGTAAATTCTAATACAAGTACAATAGACTGAAGAGTGATATGCATAATCTTCCTTTTTTTCCCCCAACATGTATACCAAAGAACAAATAGTAGTTACTTCTTTTTTTTCCTATGTGCCATATGAGAGGTAGAGGAATTCAACGTTTTGAATTGTAAAAAATTAACATTTCCACAAAGTATCACACCTCCCACTTTACGTAGGATAGGATGAAGGTAGTTTAAAGGATCTGAAATAGGTAGATACCAGTGCATATTGAATTATTAAAGAAGCCAATTAATTTTACATACATTAAATTAACAAATCTTTTGTAACTGAAAAGTGACTTTTTTACAAATGAAAACAAATGCTCCTTGACCTAGTCACTGACAGTGCATGGAATTGGATGGGATAGGGAGACAAATAGTTTTGGTAATGTTGGCGATTTAAAGTGTTTTTTGAATGTAGGCTGTATCCACACTATGTTGGTGAGGATCATGCACAAGTCGCCTGCATATTTCTAGGGTATTTAACCCTCTACATTTTGGTGTAAATCACTATAGTAGTGGTAGAACCAAAGCTAAGGGCTTAGTATATTAAGTTTTCTGACCCCAACATGTACTGGAGAAAGGATAAAAACCTCCCAAACAAAGGATAAATTTAAAGAAGATACACGTTCTCCGGGAGTAAGTCCAAACACAACAATATATACCAAATAAAAGCTAAAAACCATAGTAGGAGGTGCATGTGTAATCGGTTTTAACCCATAATGTAGGCCACCCAGTACAGTAACAGCCAACTTTATCAATTACTCGATTGGTAATGTAGTGTTGTATATGTTAAGAATTCAAATAAACCTGAATGTATACAAAACATATCCTAAAAGATGAGCTATGTAGTTGTTAAGGTCGGTGAAAAATTATCATATAAACTAAAACCAAAATCTTGCCACAATACTTAAATTGTACCAATAACAGTAGGGCACTTAATATGCTCAACAGAACCGGTTAATGAGAAAGGTACAGAAAAGGGAAATGTTAATATTTTTTAAAGAAAATAAATATTGTATATTTAAGCAAGTTTTATCACTTGCTCAAATATACAATACCCTTGAACTAGTTTGCAAATCACGGTTGGCATTCAGAAGATGTGAGATACCATTCCTATTATGGCCAGAGTCCATTTCAGATACATCCTCGGGAACTTAGAGGCCATTGGTTTATTCACATTAGTATCCCATTTTTGAAGGAATTGCAAGCCGGATTAAATGAACATAACTTACATGTTCCCAGCTTGCACCGCTGCAATCTATAATGAATACGGCTGCGAGGCTTATTTTCCTGTCCGGTCGCACCTCCCACGCCTCCACGCTCTGTCAGTCCCTGCATTGGCTTCCAGTTAGATATAGGGCCCAATTAAAAATTCTGCCGCTTGCTTACAAATCCCTACATAATGCTGCTCCAACATACCTATCCTCCCTCATACACAAGTATGTCCCGTCGAGACCCCTGCGCTCAGCCCAAGACCTACTCCTATCCTCTGCCCAGATCCCCACCTCTGATGCTCACCTTCAAGACTTCTCCAGGGCTGCACCTATTCTGTGGAACTCCCTTCCCTCCTCAATCAGACTTTCACCCAGCCTCCATTCCTTCAAAAAATCTTTGAAAACTCACTTCTTCATTAAAGCATATCAATTAAACTGTCAGCAGGTTTCTCGTCCCCCACCCCATGACTCTGTTCCTTCACCTGTCAAACATGACCTACCAAGCACTCAATAAACCCTTCTGTAACAAACTATTTAATTCCCCTACTTTAACCCTTTGTGTCACTATACCCCACTCCCTCTAGCATGTAAGCTCATCGAGCAGGGCCCTCAACCCCCTCTGTTCCTGTACGTCAGTGGTCTGATCTCAATTATGTGTCTGTTAGTCCACCCATTGTACAGCGCTACGGAATTTGTTGGCGCTATATAAATAATAAAATAATAATAACTGGATGTTACTTTACTCTAAAAGCTTGGGTGGTAATCCTCAGAGATAGTGTATGGAATTGGAACATAGCATCACTGATCACCAAAATTGCAATGTTAGTGCTGATAAGACTGTAAATATAGCAATCTTTTTACATTCATCAGAAAATCCATTATCACTTTTTAAGATGCACTCTTTCACATGATAAAAAAAATAAATCTAGGATTATCCCTTCTTGATTTGTTTTCAGCCGATTTGATATTATAGTGATTTCAGGCTCTTGGATTTTATCAG